ACGATCCCTCCTGTACAGGGTATAGCCATCTGTACCTGTGGTCCAGTCATGGGTGGAGTCCCACCAGGTCTCTGTTATCCCTATGACATCGTAATTGTTTGCATTGAGCAGGAGGATGAGCTCCTCCTGCTTATTCCCCAAGCTCCTGGCATTTGTGTACAGGAAGGCAAGTGTCCCCTGGGGGGCTCCTCCTTGCCCACAGATTTTACCAGGACTGGGGGAGGGGTGGGCTCCCTTTAAGTGCCTTGACCTGCTGGCTTTGCAAGGATTGCTCAGCGGGCCAGCAGTGGCAGTAGTGTTCTCTTCCTCTCTCTTCCCCCCAGCGGGCTTAGTTTAAAGCCCGGTGGAGCAGGTCAGCCAATCTGGCTGAGAAGAGCCTCCCCCCCAGGGGGGCGAGGTGGAGGCCATCTCTTCCCAGCAGCTCACTGCCTTTCTTGCCAAAGAGCGGGCTGTGGTCATGAAAGCCAAAGCCTTCCCGACGACACCAGTCTTTGGTTGACTGGTTTGATCAAAATAGGGAAAAAGTAAATAGCAAAAGGATTAACTGTGAACCTAGAATAACCAATAGTATGATGTCTTAACATGCCAAGTCTTAGTAATCTGTTGCTGAGTAGATTTCTTAACCAAACAGACTTTGAAATAATCTCAAAACTGCTACTACAGAAACTCAAGAGATTTGAACTCAGCATCTTACTGAATGTTCTAGTGAGTTGTTTTTTTTTGTAGACTAAGTTGTCTGAACTGTTCTCATGTACCTTCTCTTTCTAGCTTCATTTTTTCTCTAACTATCTGACTGCCTTCCAAAACGGTTTTGAAAATCTGAGCAATCAAGAAAAGTTGAAAATAGAAGAAGAAATGTTGACAGAAGTCAATAGGTATCTCCACTTTTATCTGCTTGTAGCTGTGATAATACAGCTGACATTCTGCAGTTGACTTGCATGTTTGACACTTCCATTTTGGTGCATCTAGCAGTGGTTCTCAACTTTTTTGTACCAGGGCCCACTTGTAACCAATGAGGGCCAGTCCCAACCCAGTAAAGTTAAGTAGAAAACAGCCCCTAGGCCCTGTCAATGTCTACTTCGATGTGTGGGGCATGAGGGAGCACATGGGGGGGAGGGGGGGCCCCCCAAGTTTGTGCCCACAGCAGCCATGGGGTTGCAGCCTGGCCAGACTGACAGGGGTAAGAGCCATGTCTGTGGCCCAGCAGGTGGGACCTGGTACAGGAGAGTGGAGCAGGGCATCCAGACTTGTTGCTGTTGCTGCCACTGCCACCAGAACCCCTGCACCAGCAGCAGCATGAGGAATAATGGATGGGGAAGCGGAGGGGGAGCATTGCCTTCACCACCTCCTGCTGCCAGCCACTCACGTGCTGGGCTGCAGCTCTTTAAAGGAGAAAATCCACATTTTTCCACAGCAAGTGGAAAACCCAGATCCCTGTTTATTAGTATGCACAGCATTAACATATGGTGAAGAACAAGCAGCATGTATTCATTTTAAGTGTGCAAAAAATCAATTTTTAAAATTTGTGACCCTTTCATATATTCTTGCAACCCACTTTTGGGTTGAGACATGATGCTCTGTAGAAATACCCATTTATAGTGAGTGGTTGCTAGTTAGGCTTTTGCTTCAGATGTGTATTCAAGTACTCTGAAGACAACTTTTAACTGAATTTTTATTCAAACATCCCAACCAAATACCTTCCTAAAGCCCATGTAAAAGATAAGCAAGTTTATAACAAAAGTAGTGTTGCTTTTCTCTCAGCTAAACTTTTTTTTTTTTTTAAGGGTATCCATTAGTGAGAGATGTTTCAGCTAATGTGTGTCTTATGACTTGCAGGTTTGCCCTTGCATCACACTTCTTCTGGGGCCTGTGGTCCATTATACAGGCAAAGATCTCATCCATTGAGTTTGGCTACCTGGTATGTCTGAAAATAACTTATTTTTCACTCTGAGGGAGTGAAAAATAGTAAACTATGGAGAATGAGCTTTGGTGTAGTGTTATTTTGTTTTGGGAAAGTATAAGTGTGCTTGCTTCCCATGTAGAAGTTCCCTCTGCCGAGGACAAAATGCCAGCTGTCAAACTTGGTTTCAATGCCTAAGCAAATGGTACCATAACAGCGTGGACAGGTGTTGATTTTCAAGTGCCTCAGCACTTAATAGTGCTAAGGAAATACAGCACTGTGAGGGTGTGTAGGCACTTGAGCCAGTAGGAAATAGGGGGCTGCTTCCTGAATTCTCCTCTCCTTCCCCCTTGGGAAGGGAGCAGATAGTTGGAGATCAGCAGGGTTGGGCAGCAGGGACTCTCAGCTGATCTGCAGAGCTGGCTGCAGCAGTAAGAATTAATACCACTTTAAAAGCCTCAGCTCTTGTAGAGGCTTCTGAAGCAGTGGTAATAGTATCATCTAAGCAGGGCTCCCTGACTGCTCCTACCTGGGCCTGGGTGGGCTAGGCAGGAGTCATCTACTTTTCCTCTCTCCCTTTCTCATGGAGGGAAGAAGGGCAAGCAGAGGCCTGTGGGATGCTGGGGGCCTTTAAAACGGATGTAGCACTATGTGCAACTACATGAACTGCACAGTTGCCCTACTAAGAAGTTCTCATTTTTGAAAGGGTTAACATTTTGTAGCACTTTTTCCCTGTCTTTGTAGTGCCACAAACAGCCCTACTGTCCCTAGCCTCACTTTTAGTGCTATAGATGTAAAACTTGTCCCTGGCTTGACAAACAGTTTTAGCCCCCAGCAGTGGGCAAATTAATACAGCTTAGCTTCCACTTACTATTTGGTACACGTGTACTTGAACAGTTACTGGGGAGAGGGTGAGATGAGGGTTTAAAAAAAGATGGATGTCACCAGATGAAGCAGATCAAGCTGTGGCAGGATGCATCTTGCCACAGCTGATTCACTTTGTTTGAATCGTGCATTGCTTGTATTCCTGCATCAAGCAGAGGGCTGATGTGCAGCAACAGGCAATGTGTACCCCTTGCCTAGGGATTCCCTGCATCCCATGTGGCCCTGTGCTTCCTTGCCAGGACCCAGGTCCCACAATGACCCATGCCTCATGCAGGAGTTTAGGACAGCATGGGACCCAGGGAATTGCCGGTGTCCCATGCCTCTACACTGGACCCTCACTGACTTGTGCCTCCACATACAGTGCAAGGCAGCATATATCCCAGCAAGGAAACACTAGGAATTCCCTCAGTCCCACACTGCCCTTGTCAGGGTGCATGCAAACCTTTTCCTCCATGTGAAGTGAGGAAAACTGGGCAGATGCTCCTGGGACTCGATGGTCCTGCTTGGAATTCCCAGAGTCCACTAGATTGGGCCCTTCAAGCCCTCAGGGTAGCTGGAGATGCCTGCATTCTCTTGCCACCGTGCAAATAAATGTCTGCACTATTTAAGGCTAATTGATGTGGCACAACAAAGGGTAGTGTGTCTTATTTGCTTGCCTTTTGTGCCACCTAACTCTTGTGTTGATATCCATGTTTCTACACTGAGAAGAAAACCCTAACCCTATCTTCCTTATCTCAAGTACATTTTATGTAGAATAAAACCCTTTACTCTTTTTTTTTACTGAAAAGTAAAAGTGAGATCATCACACTTCACTTCCTAATAGTGCGCTGCTGCTTGCTGTAGGAATAGCATAGAATCAGTAAACCAGGGTCTTGAGAATAAGAAACGTTATCAAGAGGTTGTCTAAACATGGAGTTAGTCAGAAATAAATGCATTCCTAAATTCAAACCCCATTTTATCTGGAACCCCTATTTCAAAACCTGGAATAAGATTATATAAACTTCACTTCAGAGTATCTCTTCCCTTGCCCCAAATACTCCTAGATAAATTCTTCATTTTTCATTCATTATTATGTTTTCCTTTGTTCCTTGCAAAAATACACTCAAATTATGACAGTGGTCTTAAAATCCATTGGTTAAGTAGTTTTTGTTTTTTCTCTTCCCCCTCTTATTTAGGACTATGCACTATCAAGATTTGATGCATACTTTGACCAGAAGAAGAAGCTTAAAGTATGAATGTGAGAAGAATGGACAATCTTACTGTACAAAGAAAGCAGCTGGACAAACTTCCACTGTGCTTAGGCTACTGTATCTGTAATGAAGGTGTCTGGATTTCAAAATACTGGAATCCAGATGTTCAATACTGAAGACTGTACAAAAATAACTGACTTGTTTACAGTTCAGGAATCTTTGGAATGAGATTGGGAGGCAAAAGCATAATACAAACAGTGCAATATCCTTTTAATCTAGAAAGCATTTTTATATTATGGGAGAAGCTTACAGATACCACATGCATCAAAAGCAAGCAGTGTTACTATGGGTACTTTTTCAGGGGTTTTGTTGACGTGCAGGTGAATGTTACGTGACCAGAATAGTTGTAAATGGTAATGCATTGTAGACACTACTGGTTTATCGAGAACCAATTGTGTGTATGCCGGGCAACTTAAACTGTGAAGTTGGCTGAAAGGCCTTGTTAGGAGATTCCGTTCATTGTGGCCTACGGACACTCTTGAGAGAGCTGCTGGTACATTTAAAACACCCTTTAACCATTTTGTTGTTAGACATATTAAAGCAGCCTGCTCTTAAAGTGCTGCCTGTATAAAGATTAATGTGCTTCTCCTTGGCGTCTTTGTCAACTGAAATATGAATTAATCTTGACGTAGATACTCTGGAGAGAGTTGAATGGCTTGATCATTCCACATTCTTCACCAAGAACATGCTTTATTACCCAGGCTGGCTGTCTGATGCTTGCACAGGGAGTTTTCTGGGCGGGCAGTATTGGGATGAGTGCCTTGAATTATGCTAATTACTCTCCAAATAACTGGATTGCCATTGATGGTTCCAATTAGAGCCAGTCCTCCTTGCTGAGTAGCTACAACCCTGCAGTGCAAGGAGAGGGAGGAATGGGGAGGGGGTTGGAAAAATCTTTCCCT